GTTTTTAAACTCTGTTAGATTAAATATACCCTTAAGACATTTAAATTGCATGCATATTTGTAATTTCTTTGATCAATTTAAAAAAAAGAAAAAACGACTCACTCACTGGACGCGCCATTCATATTTTAAGGCGTTAATGAAAGTAGGTTAGTTCTAGAGCATGGCATGTGATCTTATGGTATTTAGACTTGATCAGTTAAGCAGCAAAAATATGCATCTAAATACATAAATATGTATGATTATATATATGTAAAGTGCACTTATTCCATTATTGGATGAAGTGGTATAGCTGTGGTTTCATTGATTGTATGGTTCATTCCTCGTATTGTATTAGTTCACCTTATATGTGACTAACTCTGAAGCCAAAGACGAACCGTCAACATACTGTGTTAAGCTCTCACCCTCCTGAGCAGGAGGAGGAGGGTCCACAATTTTATACATAGCCTTAAATGCCAGTGCAACTGCGTAGGGCGGCTATTCATCTTCTAGACGATATCTGTTGATTCTGTTCACCAAGATAAGCAGCGCACAGAAAGTATTCTTTTACACTTCTATTCCCTTTCATGTCTTCCTTAACAGACTTAATTTTCACTTGCATAAATACAGGGCAATATTTAGCACAAAGTGAAATGGTTTAAATTTTTTTCATGAGTCATATAATTGCGTCTCCTGGTAACTATCTTTACATATGTATTGACCATTTTCTATTGACTTGGATTTTAAACTTTCTGGTCACCTGATTTACTTTTTATTAGTTAGTATATTTCGTCTATGTTAACGTGTTTGTTAATTGCATTTTCGTTTGAGTACCAGGCTTCTAGGAATTCCCTGACTGCACTTTTGGTGTTTTCTCTGTCTAAGATTTTGACATTATCTCAATCAAATTGATGACCATAATTGTCTGTATGCATTGATACTAAAGAATACATATCGTGTCTTTTCACGGCTGATTTGTGTTCTTGGATTCTAATTCGAAGGGAACGCCCACTTTCGCCGATGTAATGCTTGTTACAGTTCATACAATTTATTTTGTAAATGGTATTAATTTTATCTCCTTTTTCTGTTGGATCTTTCGGTTTGCATAATATCGAATTAAGCGATTTTACTGGCTTGTGTGCTATATCTTTGTCAAAGGGTTTCAGTATTCTAGCTGTTATTTCACAGATATTTCTTATGTATGGTAGGATGAATTTTCTTGTGGTCTTTGATGATGGTTCTTTGTTGGTGTTTTGTTTCGACTTTAAACACTTTTTGATGAAATTTTGTGGATAACCATTCTTTTTGAAGACCGTTTGTAGGTACTTTTCTTCCATTCTTTTCAGCTCTGGAGTGCTACAATGTGTCTGAACTCTTTTAAACAATGTCTGCACACAGTTTCGTTTGTGAGTAACTGGATTATTGCTAGTATAGTTGAGTATTTGATCTTTGTCCGTTGATTTTCTAAATACTTGTATCTCTAACTCTCCTGTGTTGGTTCTCCTGATTAAGACATCTAAAAATGGTATTGAAGGACAACTTTAGTAATATATTGATTGGTCGCTAGTGGGTTGCTAATGTCATGCTGACCTTAGTGCTCATCGATTGCTTTCAGTCAAGTTCATCTCAGTGAACTGTGGAACAATCTTAACTGATTGTTGAGAACTGCCAAGAAATCCCTGACCCCAGATTTTATGCTTATCGCGAAACTAGTTGATGCTGGTTTTGAATCTTTATGAGAAGGTTGGTTCTTCCAAAGTAGCAGGTATGTATCTTGATGACGAAACTTGGGTTTGCAGCCACTTGTCTCAATTCATCTAACATTAGATTATAGGCTTACCATGAATTCAGACTTGTTGGAGATGGATTTGTAGTATGAAAACAAACAGTTCCTGGAGTTCCACATCATGCTATGGGAATATGCTGGAAATATTTTATTTAAGACAAACCTTCATTGATGACTTACTATGGTCGGGGGTGGGTAGAAATATTCTTATCTGACCACGCATTTATACCTCAGTCAATGAAATCCGCAACAGTTAGTTTGAGATTTTTAGATCTCTAATAAAGACTAGACAGTGGCAGGTTAGATAATAGGGACCTTTTCTGCAGCCAGTACTAAACAACTGATATTACTATTTTCATGGTGCTACTTCGTGTCCTTCGTCTACCACTACTGCCTTAACTCTAATAGATGACAGTGATAATAGCTACTGATAACGTCAATGCATACAGGACTGTCTATCCTTCTGTAGCACTTGCGGATTCTGACCATTCTTTAATTGTATGCCAGGTTTATCTCACACGTTTACAACGGGTTGGTATGCACAGTATTGTTCCACACCTGTGATATTTGGCCTCTATGAGTTGAGAATGTACTATGACTTTGTTCGATCATTTTTGCTTCCGTAGAACTGCTGGCATCCGTTTGCATTATTTAGGTAAATAAATGTTAGGTCTGTATGCTTAGACATTATTGTGATCCACGGAAAATACCCGTCCATACATGAATATGCGAACAAAAAGTTCAGCGAAGAGTCTCTTTTTTTAGCAAATTCATTCACGTAACTGTGCAAGCGCATTTATGTAAAATTATTTTGTGCGTGTGTGTGTTTATTAGGATTGTCAAACAAAAATGAAATTTAGTTAGGGATACAAATTTATTTGCTCATGTGGAGCAAGGTATATAGGTCGTTCGATGCGTGTTTTATCTGAAAGAACATTATCCCGCTTGACTGCGCAAAGGTAACAGTGGAGCAATAAGGACAGAAGACAAGTAGTTCAGGGAAGAGTCTCTTTTCGGCGAATTCATTTTCATAGAAGGAGAATCTCCATCTCTTTAAAAAGAACTTTCTTTGCGGCAACATTGAGAGTAGTGTTCTCTAGTTGCCCGCTTATCTGCAGAAGCCCAAAAGACAAGATCCCGCACCTGACCACTTCTATGTGTATATATCAGTTCACCTGTTGCTGTGGAGCCAGGTACATCGGTCGTTCAACGCGTATCCTGTCAAAAAGGGTCAAAGAACACTATCCAGCGTGGCTGCAGAAAGGAAGTAATGGCTGCATAAGGAGTGCAATAATAAAACACCTCGTCAACACTGGTCATTCCATCTCAACAAACGCCTCCTTCAAAGTAATCTACAAAATGAAGAACAACCTTCCAAAGACAATACGATTCCGTCTTCTTTGCATCGCAGAGGCCCTAACCATTAAGCTAGAGGAACCAGAACTGTGCATACAAAAGAAAATTATTCAACCACTTCTACTCCCATGGTAACAACTGTGTTGATTTGACTTTACTTTTGTTTGTATGCTTATTTTGCTACTTAAAACCCTTGTGTAATTCCGTAGGTTATTTTGTTTCCATGTACACCCTGAGTACAACTCTTTCATTAAACTATTCATGTTATTACGTAACTCTTCTTTAACAATCGTTTGTGACAACTCATCACTTTGTTACTACCCTCTTATATCAACATCCAATTCATCTGAACTTACTAATTGTACTTTCGTTTGACAAATTTAATGTACACACACATACAAAACAACCATATATATTTGCGATTGTACAGCTATGAAAATGAATTCGCCGAAAAGAGACTCTTCGTTGAACTACTTGTCTTCTGTCTATTAATGTTCGAATGGGAATTTTTCATTGATCAATAAGGAGTGCTATAATTGAACATATATTCAGCACTGGTCACTCAATATGTTAGGGGAATCCAGTCAAAGTTATCTACAAAGTCGAAAGAAATCGCCCCAAAAAAACAGTAAGCTTCCTTATACTTTGCATTGTCGAGGCCTTAGTGATACGAATAGAAAACCTTGATTTATGTACACAGAAGAAAATTCTCCACCCACCCTTTTTGCTTTGAGTATAATTCCAAGCCCTACTGCGCTTTGTTAAAAGCGCTTTGCTTAAATTTTTGTATGACTTTTTAGTAACATCTTTTTTCTGAACTAATCCTCTTTCAACCTATTACATAATTTGTTTTTGGACACTTGTCTCCACGCTCTTTTGTTAACATCCTATTTGTCTGGATGTCTTTCATATTACGCAACTAACTTTCACCCCCTGGATACAATTTGATTATTCATTCACTTTGATGATGTAAGCGATAACTCTAACTAATTTTTATTTCTGTTTGACAATCTTAATGTACACATACACACACACAAAAATAATTGTATATAAACGAATGAATTTGCGGGAAAGAGACTCTTTGCTGAACTTTTCTGTTCGTATGTTATTGTGATTGTCTTTCAATAAGTGATGTCGTCTTGAGATATTGGCTTTGTTAGCTTGGATATGTACCAGGAATGTTTTCTCAGAGACACTTCCATACAATTCACTGTTTGCTAACCCTGGGACTGAGGGGATAAAGCGGTAAGGTGGTGGTCAACCCATAACTTGTCGCCGTGTAATGAAGGGTAGAGAGGTGCTGAATTAACATCCGTTAGTGCATCATGACCTCACGATTGGGCCCCAAGAGATTGCATGAATCAGTGGCTCGATACACATTATCTATAGGATATGACTGATAACCACAGTCAATGGTAGATGTGCTGCGATTTCTCCCTTTTCCCTCATTTTTTGGAACGTAATATGAAGCAATTAAGACTACTTTAAATGTTCTTGATTAACGTGCTTGCATGTTCTCATGAAACTATCCTTCATATATTATATTTCTTTTCCGTATATTGTATTTTATTGTCTGTGTGTAACACATCTCTCGGTGTCTATATTGTACAAAGTTGGCGTCTGAATAAGCCGGTGAGTCTAGAGTTTGATTCCCAACCGATGCACTCCCGGACCTTGTCTGACCAGTAGTAAGGCCACACAAAAAGAGAAAAGGCTGGGGGTGAGGAGGCTAGGATCTCCGCTCCACCGAAACGTCGAACCGTGAAGTCCTGTGTTCCACTTGAAAATCAAGGAATCAAGAAAGAAAAAAGCTTGTACAACACTTTTCACACCAAATTTATTAAACTCGTAACTATTTGCCTTCTTCTTCTTCTTTTCATAGAAATGAAACACCCGATAATATGTCCGAAATGAATTCTTACAATGATGATGATGATATCGATGATGAAGGCGGCGACGAGGATGTTCAAACAGAAAGTCTTACCACACATTCAACTACTATGGCTGGAACAACAATGTATCCGTCAATGAATCGAGTTACAAGTGCTTATTGTCCTGGTTCACGAGTTGGTGGTGGTGGTGGTGGTATTATGACTTCAACAACAGGGACAAAAACAACAGCACTACCAACAACAACAACAATGACGTCATCAATAAAAGGATTAAATACACCAGATGATATTCCGTTGAAGACGAAAACATCTAACTGTGATATCATTTCATCTTATCTTGAAATGGCTATTCGTTCGTGTATTGAAGAGCATTTATTCCATGAAAGATTATCTGAATGGAAAGTGTTCAACACCACTGAAAAGTTTGATACTACTAATTATCCAGTTGGCTTCAATCATACATTAAAGCCGAGTTGTAGTGATAATATTACATCGCAGAAGATAAATTTGATAGTAAGTTTTTTTTAAATGGGAATATCTCATTGCTTTGGTCAGTGTTTTAATTTTTTGCATCACTTGATTTTTTTCGATAGATTTAGATGTATAGTAGTACGGTTACTGGTCATCTGCCTAGTTCTGTAATATTAGTAATGAGTCATGAGATTATAGATAGGAAACCACTGAGATTTATTGATCCAAATGGAGCGGGTCATATGTTGCATGAATTCAGTATCAGTTAATTCGAAGGGTTTAACAGCAAGTTATTACGTAATCAAGAAATATGCAAAGTAATGATGACTAAGAAGAAATAGTGTAAGTGAAAAACTTGGGCACTATGGTGGTAGAAATTAATTCCATATTAGATAAGTTTATTTCAAATATCACACAGCGATGCGGTATTAACAACTGGATGACGTTTCGAGCATAAATTATTGCTACTCATAATCATATCAATTTTAGTCACATGGTTTCACAATTTGTCTTACTTATATTTTTCTATAGTTGGTTTGTAAGGATTAGTTGTTTTCTTTTTACGAGTTGATCACCGACGACATTGGTTGGTGGTCGCGCTAAATGTATCACGAATTAGTAGAAGTTAGAAATCATGGGCTGTCCATTGAATCAGGTCCCAGTGGCTAAATGGCATGTGAGCTTGCCTTGTAACCAGAAGGTCCTGGGTTCAAACCCCAGTGGGTGCGTACTGATGATGATTCTTAAACTAGGATGAAACAACTGTCCAGCACTCCTTGGTTTTCAATGGTTCTTCAACTGATATATTTGTGTCTCTTTCTGTCTATCCAACTTCCATTTGTTGTCTGTTGCTACTTTCCATATCTCCGATATAGGCGTTGCGTCATTCCGATTCCCTGTGTGGGGTGTTGAATCGATAAACTAAGCTTCAGTGATTAACCTCTCTCTCTTTCCACCTAATTATATTACTTTTTAATGCTCTCACCCTGTCTCACTCACCATATTTTGTGATAACATGCAAGTGAATGTCAGTGCAATGACTGACCTCTGTTTTTTCCAGGTCATTTAACTTATCAGGGTCAATCATCATTGTAAGTCTAGCTAGATTTGTATGTTGAAGTGATCTCGTTGACCCCGATCTACTAGTTTGACCTATGTAATTGACCTCATGGCGATGAAATTATTGAAAAGGCTATACTTTGCTCAATTTTTTTCGACGAGATCTGTTAGTTATATTTCTTACGATTACTGTTCATAGGTGGTAATAATAATAATGATAACAACAATAATAATAATGTGCAATTATTCTCTGGTGCGTCAGTGGCCTAGCGGTAGAATGCTCACCGACCATGCATGTAGTCCGGGGTTCAATCCCCGGTCGACACCCTCCTTTACTTCGCTAAGCCAGTAATAAGACAGACTGGTAAAGAAGGAAGGTTGGACATGAGGCTTGCAACCGCATCCCCTAAAAATAATAAACAGCACTGCTGCCGAAACTTCAAGTCTCTATCTTCAAGCCCTATGTTCCACTGGGAAAGTAAAGGAATAAAAACAAAATTTGTCCTCTATCCCATCAAGCTTTTTAGTATTCCAACAGTTTTGGTATCATCATACTTATCGGGTTTTTTTCCCAACTTCTTGCAACTTCATTTGATTGTGTATTGATTGAATTATATTTTTTGTCTCCTGACAATATGTTTTGTAATACTTTTTTTTACTGAGGTCATGCCATTACTTGTCTGTTTACACTTTTGCTGGGTTAATCTGTATGGGTGTGGTAGTATTTTCTTCTTCCCTCCCTTCTTTGTTTCTGTACATTATTCATATTCGGACACTTATATATGGATTATAATATAGTAGAGAATGCTTTCATCCTATTTGCAGGATGTGTTTTTCACCTAGGCATGTTGAATTCTCTACTTGTAAATGCATATAGTGCTGCTATTATATTGTCTGCGATTTACGTAATTAAGACTGAATTACATGTTGCTTTAAAAATTTTAAGTTTTCGAAGCTGACCGGTAGTGTTGTTTATCAAAGCACTATGATTGATTTTTGGATCTTTATCTTGCCTATCACCTTTGACTAAAGTTTAATCCCACTTCAGCAGGGATTTCCAGTCTGTTTGCTGCAATAAGCAGCTAAGTACGTCTTAGTATATTACATATATTAGCAAACAGTCATACTCTTTTGAATGCCTTTATAACCTCTATCACATTTTTACGTGAACGAACCGGAAACTTGTAACAACGAATCAATCAACTGTAACAGCTTAACCTATTGGTGGATTTAATTTCGTTATAAATAGACACAAGTGGGCCGGGCCGGGCACCCGGTGGACTCGACCCTGAAATCGCCTAGTTCAATAGCTAATTTTCCCAGTGGAACATAGGGCTTGAAGCTTGAGGTTTGAAGTTTCAGTAGCAGTAGTGATTTTATGGGTTTAAAGTTGCTAGACTCACACCCGGCCTTTCTTGTTCGTCGGGCTTACAACCAGCTGAGGTAGGTAAAAGTACTTGCTAGCCGGGACCAGACCACGTGCATGACTGACCAGCGTCTAACCGCTGAACCGCCAACATACGTTGTTATTAAACATGAAAAAGTGGCAAGGTTGTACTTGAAGCTAGCAATCCCATCGTGTAAAAAGCAATACACACTGCTACTGAAACTTGAAAGGTTGAAGCCGTGTATTCCACTCTTGGTATCCAAGCGATAAAAATAAAAATAAGTACAGATTTATAGTTAGTTTAGAGATTAACTTCCGTAAACCAACTTTTTCCTGCTTTTATTATCTTTTACTCATTTCTAGGTTCTTTTATCTGGTTTAGAGTTTATGAAACGGAAACGAAAGTCTTCTTCTTGAAGAGGTGAAAGTTATTGATTTGACTTTTAGAGAAAAGAAAGCAGTGAAAAATTCACTTAATTCTCATCCTAGGTTGCTTTTTTCAGTCTGTTCTCACCCACATACACCTAAGTTTTCCGTTCATTTCTACCCATTTTTTGGAGTGTGGGGGGCAGTATTTATCCGGTATTATTCCTCTGGATAAAAATGTAATCGTAGGTGTCCTTCTCAAGGGCTTTTATTTTCTTTTAGAAGAAATCTTACTTTTAGGTTTAATGACAACAGAAGGGGAAAGATTCGACCTTTATAGTCATGAAGGATATTCAAATTCTGTTGACACTGATATTAATAATAACAATAATACTAATGTCTTCCAAGTGGTTAATTTGTCGGGATTTGATTGGTTTCAAGTTTGATCGGGAACTGACTTCATTTTGGAGAACTATTGTAAACCAGGAAATTCTGGATAGCTGTTTTGTTCCAGTTGAGAACTCTTAAGTAATATGCACTCATGTCCCCGACGGGGATCGAATCCAGAACTTGACAGAGGATATAGACCGTATTCAATTGATGTCAGCCAACAGAAATGTACCAATCAAAGAAATTGTAAGTGGACTACATTAGGTATCCGACATAACTGCAACACCTCCGTAGGCAACTTACGCTTTCTCTAATGTGTAGTTTTCAGTATACTGACATCAAGGTTGATTGACTGATTATGCAATTTATCCACTGCATAAATCCGAATATGTATTTCAGTAGTGTATTTTAGTATTTATATTTCAGTAATTTTCTTTTCCACGCTATTGACAATTAACAGATCATTGTTATTGATGATATGGAATGGTTATTGTTGACAAGGTTTTCGATTGTCGCACTCTTTATGAGATTCATTACTATCTTTTTGCAGCCGCGCGGGATAGCGCTCTCGAACCCTTTTTGGACAGGATACTTATTTCAGAAAAGAGACTTTACATGAACCTGGATTTCAAGGGAGAAAAGAAGAGCGTTCTTCTCAGCAATGCCACGAGTGGTGTTCTCCAACCGTCCATTGGTCTGCAAAAGCCTTAAGGACAACATCTTGCATCTGACCACTTCTGTGTGCATATATCAGTCCATTTGTTGTTGTGGAGCCAGGTACATTGGTCGTTTGATGCGTATCATATCAAAAAGGTTCTAGAACACTATCCTGCACGGCCGCAAAAAGTTAGTAGTAGCTCTATAAGGAGTGCAATAATCGAACACTTTATTATTGTCCAGTCAAATTTTAAATTTTTTTTATAATAATAATGTTTATGTACCCGTATTGAAATTGTAGGATGAAGGAGATCCACCGAGTTTTGAATTTAAACACGCTAAAGTACTATCAGGAATTGACTTTGCCAATGAATCCAGCGATCAAATTCATCAAAAGTTAACCCAGCATTTATATATACTGAAATCACGTGTACGAGAATTTGAAAAGCGATTTGAACATGATTATGGACGTAAACCAACCAATTCGGATAAATATTCTGATCCAAGGGTAGGTGTCCCGTTTTCCCTCTCTTTTCTTATCAGAATTATTCTGTGTTTGTTTTTCACGGAATCCTGTTGTTTGGTATAGCAAACTTTGATTGATTTTTTTGAAATTTTATGAGAAGGAATATACCTAAAGTGTTATGTGGATCGCCCTTTAATTATTTAGCCTCAGACCGATGAGTTGGTCATGAATGCGAGGGTAACATGGAGGTGGTCGTGTAAGGAGGTAATAAAAGCTTATTGGCGCGACTGTGTAGTCTGCTAAAACAGACTGCAAAGAACAGGATGAAACAAAGATGCGCTACTGTAGCTCTCTGTTCCACTCAGAATCTGAGAGAACATGAATACAAACAGTAATCCATAATTTTAATGAGTTATCCAACTGTTGAAAAAGCCACTTTTTTCATACATCCAGTAAAGTAATAGACAGTTTGCTGTCTTTTTCGAGTATTAGAACTATTTGTTTGATTATAGTAAATGGTTGTTTTTATTCACTGTTGAGAAATGTCTTCACAAGGTGAAGTGTATTTAATTATTATAGTTTTGAAGATGGATTTGGTCACGAATCAGCATTGGTCACTCAGATAACTATTACTAGCTGAAAAACGCTAGACAGATGTTTTGTTATTATGTTATTATTATTGCTGTTGTTCCCTTGGGTTCCGATTGGAACATTGGGCTTCCACAACACATCTCCACTTTGTTCTGTTTTCTGCCATCCTCTTCAGCTGGGTCCAAAATCGCCCATAATCTCTCATCTCTTCCTCACCACACGATCTCTTCCATATCACCCTCGCACTGACGCCCACTCGTCGTTTCCCATTGGGATTCCACTTGAGCGATGGTCTGCATTGCGTGTGATGTCATTCGATGGTTTCCTCAATGTATGCCGGATCCATCTCCACTTTCTCCTACATATTTTTAATAGTTGGTTCGTAAGGATTAGATTTGTTTTTACGAGTTGATCACGGATTGTTATCAATTAGAGAACTATTAAAAACTAAGGACCAACTCTTGGAAGTTAATCTGATACTCGCTAGTGACTTGCTACTGGATGGAGTTTCCTGGAGTTCTAGTGAGAATTCGTAACCAGTGAGTTCCATCCAGTCAAGCGTGAGGATGGATGCCCCGCCGATGACATTGGTTGGTGTTCGCGCTAAATCACTAATTAGTAGAAGTTAGAATTCATGCACTGGCCATTGAATCGGGTCCCAGTGGCTGAGTGGTATATGAGCTTGCCTTCTAATCGGTAAGTCCTGGGTCCGACCCCTGGCGATGGTTGTGTACCCCTGCAGAGTCTCAAATTAGGATGAAACAGTTGGCTGTCCAATACTCCCTGGTTTTCAAAGGTTCTCCAACTGATATAGTCCGTAGTAAACTCCTACTTATTTGTTGAGCAATCGGCTCTTGGTTAGTTTGTAGCCAGCCAGAGTTTCTTATTGCTAATTCTTTCTGGCCACTTGATCTTCGGTGTGGAGCCATCGAAGGCAACTGTTGATGGAAGTCTGCAACCTGTTGGAAGCCCTTTTCGTTACATGCCAAGTTTTTGACCCGTATAGAAGGACCGACTTCACTTTGCTGTTGTTATTATGTAGAATGCCTCATTAGTGTTCATCTTAAGATTTCCTACAATAGCAATTTTATCTCTCTCTATAATACCGTTTTTCATAAGTGGTGGAACAACCTCCCCCTGTTTTGTTTAATATTACTGTAACAACAGAAGACAAGGGCCAGGCAACAGATTGTTTATTTAAGGAAATCAAAGCATATTTGTATATTTTCATGTACATTATTATAGTTTAATTAAGCAAACAAACACAGTCTTCTGATTGGTTGTTTCTCACTTAAAGTTAATCTTTCATCTCTTTGTGACTGTTTCTTAAATGTCAGATCATCTATATGTTAACTGTATCCGCCTACGCAAAGTCTACTGTAGTCGCTTTTGAATCAGTCTTTGTTCATATTTTCTCACGACCAATATTGAGAACGTAAACATTGACGTCAATTACTGTCTACTAATTTGGCTCGTAGACAGCTCTCACCACACTACTACTACTGCTTCATATCATTGATGATGAGTAGTAAAATTGTTAAATATCAATAAACAAGTGAACTAACATAACTAATTTGATCGAATTTATGTGTTTGTTTCTTTTTTTTAAACTTAGATTAATGATATAATGTGTCAAATATCTGAAGTCCATGCAGCAATGAAGTATATCAAGTCATCAGATAAATCGTCTGATCAAATTACCAATAAAAGTAATCCATCTGTGACAACTAATACTCCTATTGAATGTACAGCCTACAATGGAATTACCAACACAAAAATGACATCTTCAGTGTATTCTTTAAATCATTCTCCTAGTAAACAGTCAATTTATAAAACACATGATGAAGTGAAAGATTATATGAGAGGTAAGTATTTTCTCATGTTTTCACATATACTACTTTTTAGTTGATGTCAGTAGTTTGTAACTTATGATGGTTATAATAGGTAAATAGGTAAATATAAAAATTCAAAGCTCAATGTAACTTCACAACCTACCTACCTCATTGATTTATTTATCTTCCTTACCTAGCACTCTATACCTGAACTCAGTTTTCCTCACCATATTGTAGCACTTAGCACAATAGATAGAAAAACAAAAAACCTATGGTCAAAGACAGCTAGTCTCTTTATATTTTCATTTCTCAACAAACATGTTTCAAAAATGTTCATTCGATTGATAGCTCGGTATCTCACGTCTACACCAAAGGTGATAAGGACTGATAAATGATCCATGCGCTTCTTGTTACTGCACTGAGATTCCGTCACCAATCAGTCGGTGCAGTCCACTCCTGTAGCATCACCTTACTTTTTACAGAAGTGAATCGCACGCTATGAGTCTCCGGAAGACAGGATCAGGTTGGAAAAGAGCCAGTAGTGGTCAAAGCAAAACATAGCTTCATCAGTCAATGAAATCCACAACAGTTAGTCTAAGCCATCTGCGTAGGGAGGTGTAGACTTCCTGTTCGGAGTCTTTGGGATGGTGAAAACCAATGAATGCTAGAGACAGTTGGTGATATGGCTCAATATCATTCTCAATGGTGGCGCAGATGCATTCATTCCGATAAAAATCTACTGTTCCCCCATGTTACTATTCCTTTTCCCTCATATCTCTGTTTACTGTCTCTGCTCTGCATTTCTTCTTACTTTCCTCTTTTGGTTTGTGTGCTACAGGAAGTGTGGCAATTCCAACTGTTGCATATTGGTGCAAAGTTCTATATTGAAGGCAGTGCGTCAGTCAGTTCGGAAGACTACATTTGGTCAGTGTCTTCACTTGAAAGAAGACTATTATCTATATACTCCAAGTTGATAATATGTTTCCCTGTTAACAATCCCTAAGTTACCAAAGTCAGTTAGAGTGAATTCCATTGAATATATTCATGATGAACTGCAATAAAAAACGTGGATAATGTGCATTCCTGCTGGGAATCATTGGTCGTCATCACTTTGAATTCCGCTATCATGTCATTGAACATTGAATTATTAATGCATCATTGCAAATTTACTTATACCAAGGGTCGTTATCCATAAATTTCTCTTTATTCACTTTTTCTTTAACCATTATAGAGCTTCGTTCACCAAGTGGTTATATCCCTTCTAAACCATCAATGGAATTGAATGCAGCAGCTGAAAATGGAAATCCAGCAGCAGCAGCAGGTCAAATAGAGTCGAATACTACTGGTAAACCAACTGTTGAAAGTACTTTTCTACTCCTTTCAAATCGGTTAGCAGAGAAACGTGCCAGTGCAAATCGTCCTGAATCTCTTCATCTTATGAATCCTAAACAAGTAAATCATTTTTATTATATAAAGCAATTAGCCCCTTTGATAAATTTGAATAAGGCATTAAGAAGACAAATTTCGCGAGATGATATCATTTCGTAGTTTCTTTACAACTGCTTTACAACTAACATGGTTAACAATAATAAAATAAAGTTCATGACAATTACTCAGTTAAATTAAAAAACAAAAGTACATACTGATGACCAACCATATTTAAATAGGTCAAGTATACTCGCCATGGTAGGCGAAGATTGAAGTCTGTTGTTTTTTGTACACACAGTTTAGGCTGTATGTGATTAATCCCCAAAAGTGTTTCCATCACCTTCAATAACCTTGAGCTAGAGTTATGTGAAATAATTGTGAAACAGTCATTAATATTGATTTTGTAATCTGAGATGAATAAGTGCTTCGCAATGGATGATGATGGATTTCTACTCAGATTACTCGCATTGGGATTTTCTATGTGTTTTAACAACAATTTTGGAACATCTTCTTGTCGGTAATATTGATACATTCTTTTGGTTCTACCTGTAAAGGGTTATCGCAACTGAAGGTGAACTTGTAGATACAGTTTGAAGTAGAGTCCACAGAATTTCGTCCTTTAGTCGTAGGTACAGGGATCGAAACTGTTCGACAATTGAGAAAAAGAGATGCGGCGTAGAATGTGCGTTTGATGGCTGACCGAAGTCTTTGAGCTGTCAACTGCATAATCTGGTCACCCTTGAATGGTAGGTTAATAAAGATAGCTTTCTTTGGTACAGAAGCTGTCTTTTCTAGATATGGTTTTCAATAATCCTTCAACTGATATCACTTTGAGACAAAATCTGTATCGAAATTAATCGGAATCCTTACAAAAACTCATAAACTAAATGGCTTTATTGAATTGAATTTTAGATTTTCCCATCGATTGATTGGACCGTAGTGGTCGGTCTCAGGTTGAGATGTCGGCTTCTTGTGCAGATGCTTCGATGATGTCTGGGCATTTAATTATAATTTAATTGGTGGATGGTGACTAGCAGTGGAATCCAAGATGCACATTTCGTCCTGCTTGGGAGTCGTCACAGCTGGGTATACCTGCATTCCCCAGTGAGTGATGATGTTCATTACTGACGAGTCCCAAATAGGGCGAAATGCGCATCTTGGATCCCACTGCTAGTCACCATCCACCAAGTAAATGGCTTTATGTAGTTATTTCCCATGACCAATACATTTATCCCAGTAGCATGTGGTCTCTCTGTCTGCAAGGGTCGTAATTGTAGTGATAATGATGTTTGTCATTAAAATTAATTTATTAATTCATTGATTTTTTTACTTTACTACTTCTAGATTGAAGCTGAAAAATTAGCCTTACAGAAAGCGCTATTGTATTTTGAAAATCTACACGGTCGACCAAAAGAACGTGAAGATCGGATTACAATGCGACCATTGTATGATCGTTATCGTAGTGTTAAACGTCTTCTAGCCAGTATACAATCTAATCAAAATGTTAATTTACCTGAGAATACCGAGGAGAATAGTGATACCGATGGTTATTTGTCTATTCCATCCAATGATGATATTGTTCGTCGAAGGTCAATACAATCACCGGTTATTCTGTCTAATCATCATCAACATTTTGATAGTAACAATCATCCAATGAAATCTATTCATCAGTCAACAACAACTGGTATGTTTATCAATAATAATACATCTTCATATAAGTCAAATACTCCTGTTTCTTCTTCTTGCTATTCCACTATACAACAATCATCTAATCGATTATTTTCCAATGATAATACCTCCTCAGTATATGATAATTATTATTCCCAAGTTTCGCATATTCCATCCTCTTCTGTTTCATTATCATTAACAAAAACATCTAATATTCCTACATATTCTTCGATTCCTGCGTCTCAAAACAATTTCAGTCAACACCACCATCATCATCGGCTAGATGATATTGATGTCGTTGTTGATGACTGTGTTGACGACGAGGAGGGTGATTTTGAAATAACACAAAAACAGTCAATCTCATCAACAATTAAATCTGGTCATAGGACGGATGCTAACAGATCAACAACTACAACAACAACATCAGCAAGTCGTCTTGATAGATTAACACATACAGATAAACAGAATTTGAATGATTTCACCATGAAAAGACAGAATAGCAATAATGAGTGGTGTAAGTTTTATTGTGGTTGTGGTTGTTGTTGATGTTGAATTTCCCTCTTGTTCCTTTCTGGTTCTTTTCATTCTCTTTATTTATTTATTTATTTTTCCTTCACATTCCCCGGTGGAACATACGGCTTCAAGCTAGAGGCTTGAAATTTCTGTAGCAGTGGTGATTATTTTTACAGGATGGGGTTGATAGCCTCATGCCTAACCTTTCCTCTTCACCAGCATTATTTCTGGCTTGGCGAGGTAAAGGAGTGCGTCGATGGCCAGGGATCGAACTCCGGACCATGTGCATGGTCGGCGAGTGTCCTAACCGCTATGCTACCGACACTTCATTCTCTTTATGCTGCTCTTTAAATGCTTCCTTCCTTCTTTTCTTCACTATGTTCCTTATTTATTTATACCCACAAGGTCTCTCTCACTTGATGTAAGTGGAAAACCTTTGACACTATGGTAGAATGTCATTCCATATTAGAAAAGTTTATTTTAATAATCACACAGCGATTGATGCAGTTTCGAGCATAAATTGTTGCTACTCATAATCATATCAATTTTAGTCACATAGTTTCAAAATTTGTCTTACTTATATTTTTCTATAGTTGGTTTGTAAGGATTAGTTGTTTTCTTTTTACGAGTTGATCACCAACGATATTGGTTGGTGGTTGCGCTAAATGCATCACGAATTAATAGAAGTTAGAATTCATGAGCTGGCCATTGAATCAGGTCCCAGTGGTTGAATGGCATGTGAGCTTGCCTTGTAACCGGAAGGCACTGGGTTCGAATCCCAATGGGTGCATACTGATGATGATTCCCAAACTAGGATGAAACAGTTGGCTGTCCAGTACTCGTTGCTGGTTTTCAGTGGTTCTTTAACTGACATATTTTTCTCTCCTTCTGTCTCTCCAACTTCCCTTTGTTTTTTGTTGCCACTTTCCATATCTCCGGCATAGGCGTTGCGTCATTCCGATTGCATGTGTGGGGTGTTGAATCGATAAACTAAGCTTCAGTGATTAACCTCTCTCTCTCTCCACATAATTATATTACTTTTTAATGCTCTCACCCTATTTTGTGATTACATGCAAGTGAATGCCAGTGCAATGGTTGAGCTCTGTTTTTTCTAGGTTATTTAACTTATCAGGGTCAATCATCATTCTGGGTCTAGCTAGATTTTTATGTCCAAATAATCTCGTTGACCCCGATCTACTAGTTTGACCTATGTAATTGACCTCATGGTGATTAATTGCATGGTATTTGTTAAATTATATTATTTTCCTTAATTGGATCTATTGGGTGCTTAAGTCGACAAAGTTTATCTTTGCGTCAATTTGATGGTTTAAATGCCACCCTCACTAATTCCAGCCTCATTTAGAATCCTAAGGCTAAGCTAAGGCAAGACCTCTGACGTCCCCTTCTTTATACGGCAGTGCTATAGAGGCTTTGAATCCTATTTTATTTTCGTCATTTTTATTACTAATCTTAGTTTTTCTAGGGTTCTTCATATATTTCGGAACAAATTCTGGTGGCTAGCTATTCACTAGTAATATTTCCTTTATTTGTTTGATTTCGCTATTTAAATCTTCTGGTCTACTATTCGTTAGGCTATTGGCCGGATTATAAAGACATTTAACTTAACCTATCTTTACTGATTGATTCTAGATGGGATGAATTAAAGTCCATAGTATTTATCAGAGTGTGTCGGTTTCCTATAAATGCTTAACCTTTCCTATTTTTTATACGAATAACCTTTTTGAACAATATAAAAGTAGGCAATTTTGTATACTTCTGGTAAAAGTTAATGAGCATGAGTAAGGTTGATAGTGTGATTTTGTATTCCATGTGGAATGTGGGATATGTTTTAGGCCGACGATAAGGCTTTAGAAGATCTACCTGAATCTCATGGATTATTTATGTCTTATGTTGCACACCCTTGAAGATATAAATATATATACATGAGCAAAAACCAACAGTTTGGTAGAATAGGCAGAGGAGATTGAACCTCAAGGGATCAGAAAGAAGACAGAGGTGATGATGATACCTCTGAGTGACAGCAACAACAAATATGAATCACCATCAGTGAAAGAGATTTAAAGGAAGTCATCATTTCCACTTACCTGATGGAGTTTAACTCACTTTGCCGGCGATTATTGCCAATGGTGTCGACAACGGAACTTGACGGGTAGATTGTGCATCTTTTTTTGTGGCGCGAGCTGATCAAGTGACTGATACCATTCCAGATCAATTCTCTCTCTGTGAAACGTTGCTTCTTATGAATCAGAACAACTCGTTTGCTTCCCTATTGTTAGTCACATAACAGGGACATCTAACCAGGGACCCTCTGTTTACTGTCTATATTATGCATTTCTCCTACTTTCTTCTCTTGCTTTGTGTGCTACATAGAGTGTGGCGACTTGAACTGCCACACATATGTGCAAAGTTCTATGTCGGAAACCGACCAACCGACTGAACCAGGGACCCTTGCGTACTGGAGATAGCCCATCCTGCCTCATGGACACAAGATCTCTGTTGCCAATCCAATTCCAACCTGCATGAACATTGTTTCTGACTGGATTTCATGTGGAATGCCCTTTCGGAAATACTTGTTAGGGTTACTGAGACATCCACGGCCACCCTCTAATCGTGAGTCACAAGTTCAACTGTCTCATCCCTCTTGTCCAAATTTCCAGTGATTTGGGTTACCCGGACCCAGTAGCTCATATAAAGCGTGAGAGGCCTCCCTGCACCGTCTATTTGAACTGCACAGTTAGACGCGAATGCTGTTTATGCTTGTGGTAGCGCTTAGTTTGGTTCCATTATTCTGAACGTTCCCCAGCGGTGCTGTGAGTAGGCGGCTGGAAATGAAGTTAGATTGGATACCCACTGTGGAGACCTACAGTTGACTCCACACGTCAGGTCCTCCAGTAGAAGATGGATGGTAAGTCACGAGTTGGGCTTCTGAGAGTGAAAGGGAGAAGAAGTGGAAACTTGTTGGTGGGTTGAAATTAATGCTGGAGAACCGATCACAACGGAGATACTTTATTCCACTTGGAAAGCGGAGAATGAATAATTAAAAAACTGTGTTCTTGGAATGTATCTGTTTAGATATTGACGAGAGTATCGTTTTCTCTCTGCTGATATAATCTTCTATATAACATATAGAATAATTGCCTCATTCAGTCTGTTACAGGGGAGTGAGCAGGTACCAGAAGCATCTGGAACATACATCTCTTCAAAAGTATTGTATTTTTCCCCTTCTCTCCTAATTAATACCTGTATTTTTCTTTTTATTTGTCTAGTTGGTACAGTCGGTTTAAGCAGACGAAATCAAGCTAGTGGAGATAATGATTACTACACGACTACTAATACTTCCAGTTCACAGAATAAGCTTCCCAATGACATGTATCCACGTATTCAACAGGAGAATGGATTTTCTTCATCCGGAGGAGTGGCAGCAGTGACAACAGCATATGGTGGTGGACCAACTAGACGCTCAAGTACTAATACAAATGAATACTCTTCACCTATGCATAATCATCATCAAGATAATTTCACCGGTTCCACACCAGCTGTACCCTATGATTCCCCACCATTATCATTATCTTCATTATCTAATCCACGTATTAATCAAGTCAGCAGTAATATTGATTTATCGAGACCGAATAACAGTAATGTTTCTGTGGCTAGTGTGAAAAATCGACGTCGTATACTTACGAATTCTGATAATGCCATTAATTCTATGCCAAGTAGTACAACAGCAACAACAACCGACAAATATGTTGAGTAAGTTCCAGTTTAGCGGTGGTATAATAATAATAATTAATATTATTATCATCGCTACTAACAGTTATAATAATGGCTTTGTTCCAAACAATATGTTTGATACAGTATAGTAAAATATTGCATCTGTTTACATGTTAACGGAGGTGGGGGAATAATTAGCAGGTCACTTATATTGATTATAATATCAATAAGAATATGATTGTAAAATTAAAGTTAAGTAGTTTTGACATAATTGTGGTCTCTGAACTGGATGGTGTGTTTGCAAAAGCGTGCTAAATAAGGTATCATAGGGTTTTTATACTTAGTCGTCCGATCATAAAGTCTTTTATAGTTGCTTCTAGTTCCACTTGATGAGATGCGAGGGAAGAGCTGTGTTGAATAACGAGGGTTGCTCAGAGTCCGACAGAAGTTTAAATGTTTGTACACAACAGTATCAGCGACGTCCTACTAGTATATTGAAATTTTCTTACATGTAGATATTTTTAAATCAAAAGACAAGTAGTTCAGCGAAGAGTCTCTTTTTGGCGAATTCATTTTCAAAGCTGTACAATCGCAAATATATATGGTTGTTTTGTATGTGTGTGTACATTAAATTTGTCAAAAGAAAATACACTTAGTAAGTTCAGATGAATTGGATGTTGATATAAGAGAGTAGTAATAAATGAATTCGCCGAAAAGAGACTCTTCGCTGAACTACTTGTCTTCTGTCTGTTAATGTTCAAATGGGAATTTTTCATGAATTTTTAAATCAATTGTGAATCAATCATTGAGAAAAACTTGAATTCTCTGACCTTCATATCTTATAGTCTGTGAATACAATACACTGGTTTACTGGTAATGTTGACGTTAGGCGTAGAATGTTGGGCAAAGAGGGAAAATCAATCGAAGAGGCTATAAAGTTACATATATTGAGATGGCTAGGTCACGTGCTGCGCATGCCTAACCATCGCCTCCCTTGACGGGCATTACTAGCTGATATAGGTGCAGGTTGGAAAAGAGTAAGTGGTGGCCAAACAAAAAAATGGCCTCATCAATCCATGAAATCCTTGACAGTTAAACTGAGTCAGGTAGGGAGATGCAGACTTCCGGGTTGGGGCCCTCGGGACTCTAAGAATCAATGGCTAGAGACAATTGGTGACATGGCTCAAAATCGTTGTCAATGGCTTACGCAGATATATTCAGTCTCTGTAATCTTTCATATTCCTTTCTACCATTACTCATTTTGTTTCACTCCTATACTTGTCGAAAGTCGATTGATTCTCTTCACTCATTTTCTTGTCTTCCTTTGTGTGCTCTTTGGAACGTGGGAACTCGAACTGCTGCACTTCGGTGCCAAGTTCTATGTTGAATCCAGACAGACAGACGGAAAGATACTGGTTTACTTACTGATATTAAACAATCTGGGCCATGATTGTCTAATTGTCTTATGCAAAATGAGATGTGTAAAGCTGAATTCCTTAATTTGTGATGTTGTAGTGATTTCACAGTGAACACTCGCCGCCTACCTTTCGTTTGTGCATTACTTAAAAACCATGGAATTATTATTTTAAGTACCAGTACTTCAATGATATTAAGGAAGCGTTCATAGGTATCGTGTATTAGGTTTTGAATAAGGCAAAAGCAGCAGTTTGTGCAGATAATACCATCGTTTATTTCGTTGGCTTCTTGTCAGCTGTGTACAACCTGAAGAAGTTATTAAGTTTATGTGTATAGAATTATTTTCAGCATATTTGCAAATGTTACATGATGCCAGTTGACGGGAGACTGCGAATTTAACAACTAACAAGGCTCAAAATGTTCACCTTTAAACAAAAATAAAAGCTTGGATACAACGGTAAGAGAATTACGTAATGAAGACAAAAGGTGAATGAGGTGATGAGTAACTAATAAAATTGAGAAACAATGTGGTGAATTCAATTCAAGTCACAGAAACAAGAGACAAGCAAAGTTACTCTATATGAAAAGGAAGAAAGAGGTTAAAGTCAAGGATTACGTAATCAAATGGAAGAGAGAGAGAGGGAGTAAAGACATCTAGTTTCCAGGGCAAGGAAAAACTGATAACTGCTTCTCTCCGAACTTATAAATCGGGTTTCAGGCGCATGTTAAAAATTGCTTCGGCAAACTTGAAGAGAATTGAGTTGTTTTGTCTGTTGGTAATTTTAAAGGATTTCATAGTGTTTACTTCATGATCCTTATTGATGAGATGGTTGCTAGTGCCATTATTAAAAGCGTTTGCACCCGTGAGGATTATGAATCACAAAAATCCGTGGTAATTCTCCTTTATAAGGATCTATTCACTTTTGTAAACTTCTCTTTGTTGAACTGGTTGGATGAGATTCGACTGAGAGAAAAAAAAACATCTACAGCTTCAGGAACAGAAGATATCGTTTCACAGATGTATTGAGTTTTGTAGTAAGACTGTCATCGAATTAGTAGTAGTGGCCTGTGTGATTAGCGAATTACTCGGTGTGTTATGCCTCCATTTAATGTACTGAGTATATCTAATAGTTATGCAATGTATAAAGTTGATAATTCTGTTGGCTTTTCTATGTGCTTCAAATCCACTTTGTTTCTTTTAATATAATAATAATATCTTTATCCTGGACAGTATTTATAAAATGTACAGAATTTTCAGAGGGGTTTATTGCATGATATTTTCCCTTCGTACAATATCTTCAAGGGAAATATTAATTGACAGTATATCCTGTGACACAACGGTCTGTGACCATTCCACTATGATATATCTGCTTTTTCTCTTTCCAAAATCCACGATGTCTCGTTGAAAGTCAATTGTAAGATGTTCAGATGTACATTTCAAGACCCAAAGACACAACTGAAGAACAAATATCTCGTATATTGGAACACTTTGCCACCCACAATAAGGCCTCTCCTCAAGTTGAGTAGGAACTTGCTAAACAGAAGCTTGTAAACATTTTAAATACACACAAGAGTAGATAATACCATTAGAGGTTATATCGTCATCGATTAAAACAAAGCGATTGTGAGAAAATTTATTCATTAGAGAGATGGAAGTTTTGCAGTTGCCCGAGTTTTAAACAAACCTCCAATAAAAAAACAAACTTTTGAAGCTGTTACTCTTTGAATAGTAATCAATATGTATGACCATTTGCGATTGCATCACTCAGTTGATTGATGTGACCGAAGTCGTTTAGGAAAATCAGTGTAAATGTTATGTTGAATATTCGTATATCTGAATTAATTACAAACATATTAAAAATGAGCCATTTTCAGAATCATAGAAATAGAGATATGTTTCTTCTGTTGAACTGTAATTTTTATCAAGGGAGCTAAATTACATGAAGCTCTTCAAAACAACGACACTTTTTCTTGTGTCCTTTAAGTCACTGTTAATAGTCTGGAAGTGATGACTCCTAGCTATCAAGATAAGTCAGCTGAACTGTAAGGAACTATTCTCGTTGGGCTGGTTATTTAGCATTTAAATTCTATGTAAATATATACCATCTTTGATTTATCTTTAAAATTTTTATTTTAGATCATCACAAACTATACCATCATCAGATTTATCCAGTTGGTCAATTAATGATTTAAAGGCAGCATTACGTAATCTACGTGAATCAAAACGTCAATTGCAGAAAACTTTAAAAGATTTCGAACATGAATTTACTCAAACCACTGGTAAGATGATTTTTAGTGATGAATATCTTTATAACCCCACTAGTTATTGCATTATTCGTATCATTTAAATGAAAATACCATGACATGGATGTGTGTGTAAGCATTAATGTGTTGTACCTTTCACGTTTTAAAAGCTCATGGCGTAAACTATTTGCATGATGTTATGTACTACTGGTTGACTGATTGACCAATATGAGCAGTTGAACACCACTCACATCAAGCAGTAGTAGTAGTGCTTGCTCTAGCCAGATGAAATTGATCAAAAATACCGTACGACTGTTTCGCTCATTTAAGGTTGAACTCGTCAGTTGAAATCACCCCGGATTCTGTCTAGCTACTTGGGCGAATCGGTAATACATTCAATCGGATCTTCGATCTACGTAGCAGGTCGTAGTTTGTAGTTTACACAGTTCGAGGTTGGCTTTTCATCACAGTTTGGTCTGGAAACTGCTGAATTTATTCTAATCACAAGAGATCGTCTGGTTGATACTATAAATGCCCATCGAGAAAGCAAGTATAATTGTGCATGATTCTATGTTCTACTGATTGTGAGTGATATGAGTAAGTGAGCTATTCAGAATTCAATGACACCCCCTCTGGATTCTAACTTTGTCACTGATGCTGGTTGGTGATGAAAATCTAAGAACTGAAGTTAATGCGAAAATCTTCACATATCCTATAATCTAAATGTCATTCGCCAGCTGAATGATGACTACTGGATGGATTTCTTCTGAGGCTAAATTGGGAAGTTGTGACCATATAAGGTCCTCCATGTCAGGATGTGAAGTGGATGCTCATCAACGGTATTAGAATTCAGGGGTGATTGAATTCCAGCTCAAGTGTCTAAATGATCAACTAGCTTGATTATGTAACCTAGAATTCCGAGGTTCGATCCCTGCTGAGGTCCTGGATTTGCACTACTGACGAGTCTAAAAATAGGGCGAGACAGCTGTCCAGTGCTCCCCTGCTGGTTTTCAATAACTTATCTAACTCATGTTGACTGGTGACAAGAATCTAACATAAATTAATGCTAAAAATCTAAAGCTGATGATCAGAAGGTCGACATGGATATGACATTAATTCCAGCTGTGTGGTATTATTTGGTTAGAGTTCCGAATTCAGTACATGAAAATTATCGGTAAGTATCGCGGCGTGTGCTACTGATAAAATTTATCAGTAGTATATAGAGGGGCGTTCATCGGCATAAAAACATCAACTAGCGAGAAGATAGATTTGATATCAGAGAATGAATATGATACAGCGTTGCACAGATACATTGGAGACGTGTAAGGAACACAAAGAAACAAAATATGAAGGAAGGGCAAAAGTAGCACAATACGGAAGATCTGTGCAAACGGTGTACATCATTTGGCTATATTGAGATCCCAAATTGCAAGTAAACATCCCCTTAACAGTTCTCTCGTCTTCTACTGTTACAGTGTGTTACTAAAATAAGGATTTGTAACAAAGAATTAAGTAGCGAATTCTTGTTCTCATATAAAATTAGATGAGATGAAAAAAAAATTAATCATAAAAATGAACGTTCATTTGAAGTAGATTATTTACATATTGTGATAGATCTATCAAGTGATGAATTCTACACAGCAGGCATCAATGAAATAAAGAGGAGTATGTGACACGGGGTTCAATTAGCTTATACAAGATATACTAGATAGATAAGTATGTGTTTGATATACGCGTGACGTGTACAATATGGTAAGAAAATAGAAAGCCTAAGAGTAAGAAGAAATTTAACCTCAACCTTAGTAGCTCTACCTTACCATAGGGGTTGAGAAGTTTCCAAAGCAGTGATAAATTGACTAAAAACGATTAGAAATACCCACTTTCAGCACCATATGACTGTTGTACTCTCTTCTCTTTTATCTGGTTTCACAACTACCTAGCTGCAAGCTTTCATTTTCTTTCCTATCTGTACCACTATCAGATGCCCAACTGATCGATGCTCATTTGGGTTTCACTCCAGCCCCCCCCCCCGGTGGATATGTGTATGTGTGTGACATCACTTGAAGGTGTGTCTTGTCAGCGTATGCCTTGTTGGTTCACTGACTGCTAGAGTTGCTTGTTTCTTATCCTTTCTGGCCGGTGTATGTATCCAGTATTGAGTATCTAGTGGAGGTGGGTGTTGATGCAAGTGAGCTGTAGTCTGTTTAGAAACGCTTTCGATGACGTGTGTGCCAAGTCTCTGTCTGAACCATCCGGAAGCACTAAGTTCAAAATTCAGATGTTGCTCTTTGTACTAAGTGTCTCAGATCTTCACACTATTTTCTGACTAATGAACGCCTATCTTACCATCTCTAGCGATTCTCTGTGTTTTCGACATCTTTATCTCGTAGATTACTGGGTCACCTGCTTTTCTGTTTAACCCTTTCTAAACCCGAATAAAGAGAGAAAGTTCCTCGTGGAGCCAGTGTCACTCCATCCTTGATGAAAGTACAACACACTCATTTCGTAAATACTATGAATCATATATTTGAATAAGGCATTTAGAAGACAAATTTCGCGAGATGATATCATTTCGTAGTTTCTTTACAACTGCTTTACAACTAACATGGTTAACAATAATAAAATGACGTTCATGACAATTACTCAGTTAAATAAAAAACACAAAAGTACATACTGATGACCAATCATATTTAAAAGGTCATGCAGTCCATAGTAGACGAAGATTGAAGTCTATTGTTTTTTGTGCACACAGTTTAGGCTGTATGTGATTAATCCAAAGTGCTTCCATCACCTTCAATAACCTTGAATTAGAGTTATGTGAAATAATTGTGAAACAGTCATTAATATTGATTTTGTGACCTGACATTAATAAGTGTTTTGCAATGGATGATGCTGGATTTCTATTCAGATTACTCGCATTGTGATTTTCTATATGATTTAGTAGCCATTTTGGAACATGTTCTTTTCGATGACATTGGAGCATTTTATTGGTTCTACCTACATAGGTGTCACCGCAACTACAGGTGAACTTGTAGATACAGTTTGAAGTAGAGTCCACAGAATTTTGTCCTTTAATCGTAGGTACAGGGATCGAAATTTGTCTTCTAAATGCCTTATTCAAATTTATCAAAGGGACTAATTGTTTTAATCATATATTTCTCTGTTGGTTACAGACAGATTGGTTATTTAGTTTTTACCGATGTATAGCATACTTAGAGACTGGCAAAAATAAACTTTTAATTCCATGTTGATATGTTTATTGAATATGCCCCAAAATGAAGCAGTATTACTTACTGGATGACGTGTCTAACTCGATTTCCCAGATTTCCGGGTGGACAGTCGATTCTCTGAATAAAGCTTCCGTTATCGATCAATGGGAAGCAATTCCTAATATAATTATGTTCTTTGAGCTGGTTGATTTAGTTTCGAAGCTTTCGTCGTCCTTCTAGACAACATCTTCAGTGCTAAAGATTTTGTGTAGAAGTGGCGGGGGGGGGGATGAAAGCTTCGCAGTTAAATCAACCAACTCAAAGAACACATAACCAAATCAAAATCATCCCATCCGAGCTACAAATCTATATTATATCAATGGGAAATAATAAAAAAAATTGAATTTGTGTTCTTATAACTGACTAACTGGTTTCAACACAGAACTTTGCACTGATGTGCAGCAGTTCGAGTCGCCACACTCCATGTGACACACAAAGGAAGAGAAGAAAGTAAAAGGAGATGCAAAATAGAGACAGTAAATAGAGATATGAAACAAAAAGAATAGTAATATGGAAGAACAGTAGAGTTTCATTGGCTATTATAAATCACAAGGAGTGGATGTATCTGCGCCAGCCATTGAGAACGATCACTTTGAGCCATATGACCAATTGTCTCCAACCTTCATTGGTTTTCACCGTCCCGAGGACCCCAGCTAGGAAGTCAGTCTTCACCTCCCTTCGTGGCTGGCTTAAACTAATTGTTGTGGATTTTATTGACTGATAAAGCCATGTTCTAGTTTGACCACCACTGGCTCTTTTCGAACCTGACCCTATGTGAACTAGCATTGCCCGTTGAAGAAGGCGATGGCTAGGCATGCATGCGTAACATATGTCCTAACCAGCTCAGTCGATGTAACTCCACAACCTTGTCGATTGATTTTCCCTCGTTAACTATCACTCGACTGAGAGACATGTGCTACGTATGCCTAGTCATCGCCTTCCTCGACGGGCAGTGTTAGCTGATATAGGGTCAGGCTGGAAAAGAGCTAGTGGCGGTCAAACCAAAACACGGCACCAGTCAATGAAATCCACAACAGTTAGTCTAAGCCACGTAGGAAGGTGTAGACTTCCTGGTTGGGGTCCTCGGGACGGTAAAAACCAATGAAGGTTGGAAACAGTTGATGATATGGCTCAAAGTGATCGTTTCCAATGGGTGGTGCAGATACATCCACTCCTTGTGACTTATGATTTCCGATGAAACTGTTTTGTTCTTCGTTAATACTATTCATTTGTCTCTCACTTGTGTCTACTGTCTCTATTACGCATTTCTCCTACTTTCTTCTCTTGTTTTGTGTGCTATATGGAGTGTGGCGACTTGAACTGGCGCACATATGTGCAAAGTTCTATGTCGAAAACCGACCGACTCGACTGAGATCTAACCTCAACATTGCTCACCCCAATTACACCACGGCACCTGACATGGGAGATAGAACGCAGGCATCTATGATTAAAGACAGCTAGACAGGCTTTTTATTTCTTCCACTCTCAATGGCAGGTGTCACAGAGCATGACAAAGCAGACTGCTAAGCAGTACGCATGTCCTTTGGTCGATAGCTAGCTGGATATCACGTCTACGCCACAGTCTTATTACTGAAATGACCATCAGTCAAAAATTGTTCTAAACCACGATCCAGTAGATTTATACTGTTTCTTATGTGTGATATATATCCAATGGAGAAGTTAATATAGAATGACATACACTACCCCGCAATGCCCAAATTTGAAACACATATAAACTTGTAAACCTCTTCTGCTACAATCTCCTCTCATTTTAATGAAACCTCTTTACTCTGTCAAAGTATATATATGTGTGTATATATTTTCAACAATCATATAGTCAATATTCAATCCTTTCCCATTGTGTTTTTATTGTTTGTTTCAATACATGTTTATAGGTCAAAAGGTAGAACGTGCTGATCGATTACGTATGCGTCCACAATACTGCCAGTATAAAGCGTTAAAAACACGTCTACTTCAGCTGGAAACTGAACTAAAAGGTCGATGTGCTTAAAAAAACAATAGAGTTTTATGTATGTGTATGGATTTTTTTTCCTTTGAAAATTTAAAAATTAACCGTTTCTGCCTTTAACAGCACAACAATCCCCGTTATGTGTGTCCAGTGGGGCTGGCTCAGTTATTTTGTTTTCATTTGTCAATGTGATAAATGTGTATGTGGTGGAGGGATGATTAAACTTCTATGATCTACTATTCTACATTGTAACAATATAAGGAGAACAGTTGATATATGTCTATTCTACATATTTATACACTCATTAGTGTGAACTAATTTTAACCATCTAACTTCCAATACACAGGATACAGGATAAGATTAGTTAGCAGTACATGTATTTTTAATTGCTTTAATACTTTATTTATCCCAAATATGATTACTCATAATATTATTATACCTTGTAAATATATATATAGTACTCTAACCTACTTAGCAAATTATGTGTATATATAAATATCTATATTTGAGTAATTTTATTTCAACTCCAGAGATTTTCTAAACGCGATGAGATATTTCTCCGCTTCCTCTTCTAATTTCTACTCAATTGATTTTCTTTTTATTTATTAGAACAATACATGCATACTCAAGATGTCATGCCTACTCTGTTCCTTATTTCTTTTGACCCTCTTGTTTTAAAAAAAGAGTACATATTTTTGATTCCCTAAGCCCGGAAAACTAACTAACATCCAACACATTTTTATTATCATTACCACTATTATTATTAGTAGTAGTAGCAGTAATAATGCTACTTTTTTATGTCAGGAGATCGGTGTTGTAGCTTTTTTTCTCTTTTCCTCAGAGAGAAAGATAATCCGTGTGTATACTTTATATTTTGTTGTTTGTTTTTTTATACAATATAGGTTTTATCCCATCTGTATTGTCTTTTTTGTTACACCTATGATTTGACGAATATTCTTTTGAAATTGACTACTTACTACTTAAATTGTTTTTAGTAATATATAATATTTATTGTATATTTCAATTCTGTCCGACCTATCTTTCATATTTATTTTTGTTTTCGACTTATTTCGTTGTACAAATTAAGAATCTATTAATATTATTATTAATAATATTCCCTTCCGAATTAACTTGCCCCGCTCTCGATGAGATGCTCCGTATTTGTGTAGTATTCTGAAATAATTTTTATTTCTTAAGATGTAAATTATCACAGTCGAATGTGTCTTTTTTTCTTCCTTTTCCTTCACTGCTTAACATCATTGTCAAACTGTATTTCCCTGCAGATATATTCTTTATATTGTAATAAATAGATAGTCTTATTTTATTTCTGTATTAGAAAAGAAAAAAATGGGGGAAGGCTATTTGTTATTTTAATTTTAATTCGATGTTTGGTGCGCGCATGTGCGTGTGTGAGTTTGTGTGCACACTTGAGTACACATGTGAGTTGTGTTACATACTCTATGTGAAGAGTACACCATTACATCCTTCAGTCGCTTTCTGTATGTGTCTCTCGGGCTATACAAACACCTAAATTGTAAATTTCTATGGATTACGTATTATAAAAATAATAGATATATAATACATCTAATAAACGTTTTATTGCAAATAATTTTTTTCGTCTCCTTAAATTCATATGTCTTCCATCAGTGATATTTTGAACACCCTGCCCCAGTGTGTATTGTAGCAACCGAACTCGACATATTCTGATATGAATGTGAAGAAACAATTGATGCGTTCTTCGGTACATATAGGCGAACATCTTCGAGTGACTCAGTTCGAAAATGTCTCTCCGGTAGTGAAAAGAGGGTACAAATCTGTGGTACTATTGAACGATTACAACAAATCAAAAGTACAAAATCATCCCAACAAATCACCGTTAGGTGGCAAGCCCAGTTTTCTCTTCTCTAACCGCTGGATTTCTGCTTTCTATCTAGCCTGAAACTTACGGATTTCTAATTCCTGTTGTTGCCGTAACGCATACTACCGTTGAGTTAGTCCTAAAGTGATCCCCAGTCTCAAAGGAGAGTCATAACATGAAAATGCATCTAGGGGGGAACTTGCCGTGTTTCTGGAGGTACATCCGAGGGTTCCATTTTCTCCTTCTACACAACAGTTGTCGAAAACATATTCACTGTTCCTTTGCCAGTCGTATTGCTTTGGTATGCTGAGTACTGCAGTGAACAAAACTGATTCGCTGTTGTCTGACCATTGGAAATTAATCTTTGCGATCAACTGTATAGCTAACCAGAACTTCAGATTTCACACTAGTCAGTAACTAGTGTAATGTGTCTAGTCCTATCTTCGGTGCAGACTGAATTCTATCAGTCAAGCTTGCAATGTGGCCACTATGCCACTAGGTAGCTTGTCATTACGGTGCACTGTGAATTGTTGGTATTAGATGGTTGGAGGCAATCGGCAGGAACCCCTAGCTGACATAGGTTTCGTGCTAGTTGGCACTCATCAGCAAGGCGTATTTGCAACCTTGAAGGAACTCATGTCCCTTCTGAGATTCGAACCCACGTCACCATAATAGCGAGCCACCTAGCATGATGGCCACATTGCAAGCTTGACTGATGGAATTCAGTCTGCACCGAAGATAGGACTAGACACATTACACTAGTTACTGACTAGTGTCCAATCAAAAATATCCAATACAGTCCTACATGAGGTCAATCGCGCGCCTGAATATTTCACTGGTAACGTCTCTGACTGCAGTACTCACTGGGTGATGCGGATTCGAATCTCAGAAGGGAAATGAGTTCCTTCAAGTTGGTTGCAGATACACCTTACTGATGAGTGCCGACTAGCACGAAACCTAGGTCAGGTAGGGCTTCCTGCGGCCGATTGCTTCTTTCCATCTAATAACCAAACCTTCCTTCGCTAACGTCCAGTCCGAAATCGTCCCGGTGACTGCAAAACTTCAACGGTATGCGATAAAATCTCTTGTACTATTGAAAAATAATAGCACGTCAGGTAGTCAAAATTACCTCACCGACGCCGGCAGGCAGCTATACGGTCGAAGAATCTACTCAAGTACAAAATAAGTAATGTCCAACAAAGTTAGTCAACTAAAAATAAACAACCATAAGAAGTACCGGAGTGAGAATCAAATAGAATATCCCCGATAACTTTATTATAGATAAGATTTTATTTTGATAAGTCACACAGTAATATTAACTGATGACCACGTTTCAAGCACAAACTATTGCTCATGATCATATCAAGTCACTCACACAACTTTTTACTGCATTTATATACATGAGTGGAATTGATTAGACATTTGAATAAAAATCAATATGGGATAATGTACATTCAGAAATAATATTAGTGTTATCAATCAAATACAATCAGATGGGAAATAAGACGAGTGTTTTTATAGTCAAAATAAATAACTTGTTAGAATGTTGTGATATACGTGAATCGAAATAGAATTTTAAGATTATTCATTATCCTCCTCTGATTTGCCTGGCTGGTGGTAATAATATCTTCCATATCTCTGGCATTTGCGTTGAGTCATTTCATATCAAGAATATCCCTGACATCATGGGATCATAACTCTATCGACGACAAACAAACACTTTCCGCTAACACTCTTAGATCAAAATCCACACACAGCATTACCTTGAATTCATTCAAACAAAATCACAATCGTAACGTGACACCATCACACAAGTGCAAAGAGAAGCATTAAAATTTGGGATGAACCGGGATCAAGTCAACAGGTGACATTCAAGCGTTAGAACAATGATCTACAGGTTTTAGGGGAAAAGAGGATAATAATTACAAATTTAGTTGAAATGTTCGAATAATTATCAGTGTTGTAAATAGGTCGTTCCGGTGGGATTTTCAAAACAATGATTTTTTTATATGTGTACTAATGTCTACACGAGGATTGCAACATGATGACGTTTGGGTATCATAGTGACAATGGCGTGTTTTACTCCAAACGTGCTTGATTCTTCAGAATTAAACTCTTTCAAGATAGTTTTGAAGTAGCACACTAATGAATACATGAACTGTTGGTCATTCTATTAATTTTGATGATCCTCTTCACCTGGAATTCAATGGTATTAAGGGTCTATAAAGGCATTAAGGGGTGAGGAAGCTGAGAGCAGATTTAGGGTTATACACTTTTATGAATTAGCTAAATATATTAAGAGAATAGAGTTTGTTTCAATTATTGATATTATTGTTTGACCCTTTCGCTTTCCGAGTTGAACATAGGGCTTCAAGCTTTGAAGTTTCAGTAATAGTGGTGGTACTTTCTCATGGTGTGAGGTTGCTAGCCCCTCACCCAACCTCCCTTCTTTACCGGGCTTATTATCTGCTCAGCGGGTGCATACTGATGAAGAGTCCTGGATCAAAGTGAAACAGAGAGCCAGTACTCTCTCGTTTGCCAATAGCTCTCTCACTGATGTTAGGTCGTGTTATTCTCTATTGTTTCATTCGAATCAAACTACCGGCAAGAAATTATCCTCACAAAACACCGAAAATTCATTCTGCCATAATTCAAGAATATTTCTAAAATAACGGATAGAATACATAAATCATTCGGAATAGATATCGCAGACAAATCGACACAGTAACCTCATTGAGTACTATTCAAACCGAAACACCCAACAGTGAAGGAAGACAAGAATAATGCCATTTACAAAGGGAACTGCATGAACTGTGATAAACACTACAGTGGTCACAATGGATATCCCCTTCGATTGCAGGTTCAACAACATAAACAAGCTGCTGAAAGACACGACATGTATTCTTCCGTTTCGATGCATGTAGCCAACTATGCACACCAATGTGACGGCGAAAAGTAGGAATTTTATACAGTGGAAGTACCAAAAATGCAAAGGAGATCCTAGAACCTCGCACTGAAGTGAATAGACGATTAACAGACACACTACTATAGACAACATTTATCAACTAATAAACAATGCGAATGAAAACAAAACACGGAGTTCAAAGAAGAGTCTCTTTTCAGCGAATTCATTCTCTTAGCTGTACAATCGCAATTATATATACTTATTTTTGTATGTGGGTGT